CAAAAAGATTCCTAATAATGCTTTTCAGCTCTGAAAAAAATAAAAACCATAATAAATAAAAGTGATACCATTTAAGTTAAAAGTGAAAATGTGCCACAGTTTTCTTTATCCATTCTTCGGTTGAGGGACATCTAGGTTGTTTCCAAATTTTGACTACTGTGAATAACCTTGCTGTATGGTGGAATGTCCTTTGGGCTATATACCCAGGAGTGGTATAGCTAGGTCTTAAGGTAAAGCTATCCCCAGTTTTCTGAGAAAGCCCCAGATTGATTTCCAAAGTGGTTGTACACGTTTACATTCCCACCAGCAATGGAGGAATGTTCCCCTTTCTTCACACTATAACCAGCTGTAGCTTGAGGATTTGATCTTAGTCATTCTGACTGGTGAGAGATGGAATCTCACAGTCATTTTGATTTGCATTTCCCTTGATGGCTAAGAAAGTTGAGCATTTCTGTAAGTGCTTTCTGGCCATTTGAGAATCCCCTTTTGAGAACTCTGTTTAGTTTTGTGTACTACTTTTTTTAATTGGGTTATAATGTTTATTGAGGTTTGAGGCCACAGGGAAGAGGACAGGATCAGTCCTAATGCAACTTGATGATCTGGGTTGAATGGGAAAGGGAGCTCCCCTTTTTGATGAAAAGAGGAGGGGGAGGGGAAGGGAGAAGGAGAAAGAGTGGGACTAGGAGGAGAGAAGGAATGGAAAGAAAGAAAAAGAAAAGAGGAACTTTTGAAAACTATACAGGGGCCTGATGAACCATAACAAGATTCTGTTTTTCATCTTTTTTTCAGGCTGTCGCTCACCTGATGATTGATGGCAAGGCAGCAGTGCTTATTGCCAAGCAGCTGACATGTGAAAATGATAATTCTCCATGCCAAACTGCCATCTTCCTTTTTGAAAGAAAGAGATATTAATGATTATGTCACCCTGTACTGACACTGGGCCTTCATATGTTTTCAGCTGCAGCATTCTCAGGGCAAAGAGTGCTTTATTGGCAGTCATCCAGCAAGAAAAAAAGTAAAAAAAGAAAAAAAAAAAAGGGAATGACAATGCATTTATTTCCTAAAAACTGCCAGGTTTCAGCAGATACCTTCTGTACAAGTAGTATTCGCAGAGGTGACCAAAGGCGGTAAGGCAGCCCTGGTTTCTAGGGTGCGTCACTGATTTTTACTCGCCAAACTGCTTCTGTACAACAAATAGAATTACAGATGAATTATGTTGTCTTAAAATTGTGCCTTATGTTAGCACCAGCCCCTAAACTTTAGTCTGTTGCATAATACTCAGGGCTGGCAGGCAGCCTTTAGAATCAATGTAGATTACTTCATCAGGGGCCTCTATTTGTGATTTATTACAATTGAGTCAACAGAGACTGTACACACAGGTAAATACACTTTATTTTGGCCATATAAGTTCAGATTCTAATCTTCCAAAACTTTTGTCTGAAGGAATTGTGAAGTAAGATTCTCTATTTTACTTACTGGCTCTTTTTGTTTGTTTATTTGAACTATCAACTTAAAGGAGGCACAGACTCATGAACACTTTCATCAAAAGGTTTCAATACTGAAATAACATGTTCATTAACTGAAGAACAGACTCCCTTGATAGTTAAAACAATACCTTTCATGTGTAAAAGTTAGTATGGGGCCTGAACTCTCTTATGCTGCAACTCCTGAAGGATTGCTGCCAAATCATATTTGGCACATGGATGTTACTCATGTCCACAAGTTGGGGAAGTTGAAATATCTATGGGATTGTACCTATTTATTCTTCACTCATTTTTCCTATTCTCATACCAAATGAAACAGTTAAGGAAGTGATCAGCTTTTGACTCAGAGTCTTTGCTATTTTAGTTCCCAGTAAAATATTAAAAAATGACAATGTTCCCCCATATACTACCAAACATCTCCAGGAATTTTGCCAACAATATGCTGTAACCCACATCACAGGCATTCCATATAACATTCAACATCAACTGTTGTGTTTTTAAAAAGCTGTTGGGCTATATAACGTTTATTATTAGCTCTAAAATTATCACATCATTATTATTTAACCCACTTTCATAAGTAGAAAGACACAGAGGCACCTGTTAGATTTATAATTGCCTTCTTTACCTTGGGTCGGGCAGCTATTTCACTTACACTGTTTCAATAGCCTCATCATCAATCTCCCAGCCCCCATCCAATTCTATCCACCTTAATCCTCTTCAACTGGACTACCTTTCATCCATAATCCCATGGAACTTGCTTATATTTTTCATCTGGATCTTTTCACACCATTTATTGGAGGCCTTTCTCTCAAGGCACTTGTTTTTTTCTCAACATTAACCCATCATGGCATCCTCCTTCCTCCTCTCTCCCGCCCATCTGTTATGATCCTCTCTTGAGTCCCCAAAAGCACAGGAACCTTAGCAATGCCAACTCCATCTGCCCTGCCCAGGTATAGGCTGTTTAATCAACCAATCAGATATATCTTAGGCAGGATTACAAAACAAAGATGGATGTAACCAGATCTTAAGGCCAGTAACACACACCAGACCAACCTCTAACATTCAATCTTTTGTGTAAATAGTTAATGAACAACTTAAAATTATATAAAAATAAAGAAGAGTAGTATAACTGCTCTTCATAATAATTTATTTTTTTAATTTTATTTTTTTCTTATCAGTTACATTTTATTAACTCTGTATCCCAGCCGTGTCCCGATCCCTCATTCCCTCCCAATCCCACCCTCTCTCCCTCATCTCCATCGTGCCCCTTTCCAAGTCCACTGATGGGGGGGACCTCCTCCCCATTCATCCTATCCTGTTTTATCAGGTATCTTCAGGACTGGCTGCAAAGCCCTGCTCTGTGGCCTAACAGGACTACTCCTCCCTTGGGGGGTGGGGAGGTCAAAGAGCCAGTCATTGAGTTCCTGTTAGAAATAGTCCTTGTTTCCCTCACTATGGGAAACCAATTGGTTACTGAGCTACCACAGGCTACATCTGAGCAGAGGATCTAGGTTATATCCATACATTGTCCTTGGTTGAATGTCGGTCTCAGAAAAGACCCTGTGCCCAGACATATTTGGTCCTTGTGGAGCTCCTATCCTTTCCCCATCATACTAACTCCCCTTCTTTCATATGATTCCCTGTACTCTGTTGAAGGTTTGGTCATGAGTCTTTGTATCTGCTTTGAAAACACTGCTAGTTAGAGTCTTTCAATAATTTATTTTTTTAAAACTTTATTTTTTAAAAAAAATGGGCAAGGATAGTCTACTCCTGCTGATCATTTCTTATCCCCTCCACAACACTCAAAATAATGATCCTTTGAAGAGATATTATATCATGTCATTATAACTGCACAGACTCAGTAGTTCACTGGAGCTGAGACTGCATTTTTCCTTACAGCCCTGAAAACCAGGGTGGATACCTGAAAGACCGATTTGACACATGGAAGATAAACAGAGATAATACCACGGTGTTGAGGTTACACCCGAGGAAAAAAATGAATGTGATAATGGAATCAGGCAGCTATAAAAAACAGAGGCTCTCTACCTACAATGATTCGGAAGAAGAAACTAGTGACTGAGGAAAATAGTTGGTAAAAATCTTAGGGTAAGAGTTTGACTCCAGAATGCTGTTCATTGCTATGTTGTCTCTAGTTCATCTGCTACTGCTGATCATATAGTTCCTTATGTAAAAGATGGAAACATGACATTTTAAGTATTAATGCTAAGTCCTTACATGATGAAATATTAACTATTTGGCACTGAAATTTGGATGAATTGTACTTCTATCATTGCCATACTAAACCTAGTAAAGATTTTGGTCATTATTTTACAGTCTTGGTTGGGCTTCTAAAATTTTGTCCATAGGAATGTCTCTGGAAATTTTTTTGTTGGTTATGCAGAGATTGATTTGCTTTCTGCTTTGAAGTTTGACTTGCTTTTGTTAAAATTAAAACAAAACAAAATATGGTGGGAGTGCTCTGCAGAATTACAGAGCTGGCCTAGTCTGTCTGACTTGAGAAGGATGTACCATAGGATTTTCAGTTTAGAATTCATTGCTCCTAGCACACTGTGTCCCTGTCAGTTCTAGAGACCTGAAACTATCTCTCAGGTAGTAGAGCATTCAGGTCACCCATGTGCCTCCGAGTTCCCAACTCAGGAAAGCATGTAGAAGTGTGGCAGAACAATTAGTTTTAGTCATTAATGTATATGCTATATAGCGTGCAAATGTCATGTTTCTAACTTCATGGAGCCTGTTATATTTCTGAGGAAATGTAGAAAGAAAGAAGGCAAAAACAAGCCAGTCTGCCCTCAGCAGAAGTGATTGTTTATTTCCAATAGCAGGGCTAGACACTATGAACCACTTGATCAGTCACTCACATACTCTTCCTCAGCTTATGTTTCTAAACAACTACTAGTTCCCGGTCATGTATCATCCATAGTTCTCCACAGTAAGAGGCTTCATTTTCCCTCATGTAAAAAAATAATAAGATATGAAAATAGAAAAAAGCTTCGACTATCATTCTAAACAGTATAATTTTCCTGAAAACAAGAACCTGTTAAACCAATGTTTGAAAGTCAATCTTCTCTGATAATGTTCAATGTATACAGTAGAATATAATAGAATCTCTTAAAGTCCAAAAACAAGTCATGTGATACTTACCAAAGAAATACAAAATTAAGACAAGATGGCTGGACATGATGACATATCTTCAGCACCAGCACTTTTTAGGCAAAGAAAGGGAGATATCTATGAGTTTATGCCACACTGTTATACTTATGGCTCAGCAGGCCAGAAAAGGATACATAGTAAGACTTTGTTACAAGAAAAAAATCTGTAGTACGAATCATGAACATGAAATAAAACTAAAGGTTTCACTACAAAGAGCACTTAATTCTGTTAGATGAAGAATTATGAACCCACATAATCACAGTGTATTATACCTGAATAAGAGCTTTAGAATGGTTTCACTATTGTATTTAAATTATAACAGATTATTTTCAACTTTTAATTATATTATAAATGACTATTCTTTCTTGAATGGGTTTTCTGCCTGATCGCAAGGCAGGAGTTTTTCTCTGGTCTTAACAAAATAATATAGCACTTAGGCACAAAGATCAAGCCAAGAAGTGTTGCACTGGAAGCCAAAATAGAGAAGACTTCCATAGCCACCATAATCTTCCCCTTTGTGCTATGGTAGACAGGAAGGAAGGTGACCCAGACACAGAAGAATACCTGCATGCTGAATGACAGGAACTTGGCTTCATTGAATGTATCAGGAAGATTCCTGGACAAGAAAGCCACAGTGTAGCTCCCAAGTGCCAAAGAGCAGAGATATCCCAGGACATAGTAGAAGGCAATTGATGAACCCTTGTTGCACACAATGATGATGTTACCATGCTCAGCATGAGTATCTTGATCAATGAAGGGTGGAAAGGTAACCAGCCATATTCCACACAGAACAAGTTGAATCAGTGTGCAAATGGGAATGATGAAATTAGGGGCCCTTGATACTATTAACCACCTCACCAATCTCGTTGGAACAGTGACTTTGAATGCAATAACTACTGTTATAGCTTTGGCCAACACTGTGGAGAGAGCCACAGTGAACAAAATTCCAAACGCTATCTGCTGCAAGATGCAGGTGGCTGTGTTGGGCTGGCCAATGAAGAGCAAGGAACTGAGGAAAGAAATGATGAGTGTCAATAGCAAGGTGTAGCTGAGAGCCCGATTATTGGCTTTGACAATTGGTGTGTCTCTGTGCTTCACAAAGACTACAAGGACTGTAGCTGTGAGTACAGACAAGCACAATGCTGTTATGGTTAGGGCCATCCCCAAGGGATCTTCATAGGCCAAAAAACTCACAGATTTCTGGAGGCAGTAGTTCTTCTCTAAGTTTGCATAGTGACTTTCTGGACACTTCACACAATGATCCATATCTGTTCAGAAATAAAGGTGATTGTGAATCAATCCTCAGATGTTCCCTTTCTCGTTAAACTGTAACTCAGCCTATGCTCATTGAAACACTTCCTGAGTCACCTTCCTTTGTTGCTTCAGAAACAAACATTTAAGTGCTCTGTGACTCATTTTAAATCTATACAGCCCTCGTTGTCTATGGTCACAAAAAATCAAAGAATACTAATTCTTTTCCTCTGTATATGCTTTGCCTGCATTTGTGACTCTCTTGCCTCTATTTTATATGCTATAAGATTACAGAATTTTATTGCACAATCCTAAATTTATTCTTATGAAATTTTTACCTTATCAAAATGCATACTTATGTATATATGTTTTGTACATTATGAATAATAGTTTTTGAAAATTCATTTCCTAAAAGGTGTTCTCATATTTGGGACCCAAAATTACTTATTTTCATAAAATTTCTTGGATATCCAATTTGGCTCATACTCTAAAGTTGAAATAATAAATACCATTATATTTTTGAAGCTCAAATACATTACTAGTAATATGTTGTTACGTTTAGCTATACCATTATTTTTTACATATATAGAGAGAACTATTGAAATATTTCTTGGTACTCAAAAATAAAATTTTAATATACTGCTTCTAAATATTTACAACTTTTATCTTGAATTAAGAAATATCTTAATTCTCTGTTTATAATTCTCTGTTTATAAATCTCTGTTTATAATTACATATTTCTATTTTATTAAACATTTATATATTTCTGAAACCTATGACCTCATCAAATGATTTTCTCTGTCTTATATTTGGAGCTAAACATTTATCAAGTTTATATTCAGGAGAATAAAATCTGTTCCTTGATATCTTGGATTTTATTATTTCTTTTTTTATCATGAACTCCAATCAATTTTTTTCTCATGAGCATTTTCACAAGCTTTTCACACATTCACAACTTTTTCCTTTGTTTTTATTTTGAGTGTTTTGTTGTTTTTTCTAGTGAATAATTTATGTTTCAATTATACAGATTCATCTCTGACTTAGTTAAGGTACATGATATATGCTTCATTAACTGATTTACATAAGAATAAGACTTTTCTTTTAAAATGGTTTTATTCTACAATATTACACTAGTAATATTTTAAATTTTAATGATGTATATTTTACACTACTTTGATTTACATATTGTTTCAAAATTTACTTACTAGCATAAAACTATGTAGGCTTTAGTATATATTACTGAAGTATTCCTATTCTGTGCATAGTGAAAATGTATATAGACCCACATATAGCTAAAGTACAGGGGACCAATATTTATTAAAATAGTATTTGATCCTTATTACTCTGAGCAAAATCATGAAATTTTATGGTGGTATGTTTGACATAACACATTTGAAGGAATTTGATGCTATCGCTTATCTTAATCTAATTATTGTGAAACAACCTTTTAAATATTTGTATTTATGTACATCATCAAGTAACACTCAAAGAAGCCACTCTTCACAGTGACCTTTGATGAAAACCAAGAAATATGACTGTGGAAAATCCTGAGAAGAAGTGACACATCAATCCCCATTCATAAACAGGTACATTTAAATCATCTATTCTAGTGGTCAAAGACTATAATGGAAATGAAGGTAAAATGATTATGAGATGAGGACTGAAAATTCCTCCATCCAGGTAACACATGCTTTGCACTAAGGAACATTCAAAAATTAAGGTTAGGTTCCCTGTTTGGTCCTACATGAGTATGGGATTAAGGAGAATGAGAAAAATTATCTTACCTTTCCCAGATAATCTATCTCTTGGAAAGGTATTAAAAGAAATAAGTTACCTGTTTCATTTGTGTAGTAACAGATGGACTAATTGTGCCCCAAGGTGCCATCTAAATCCAAGGACCATCAAGATGACCATGTTTGAACAAAATAGGTCACACATAAAGATTAAAAAAAAAACTGTTAAAGGTTCAATTAAGGATGAGAGGAGTTCACAAGTGTTGAAGAGGGGGCATACCTGGGATATTTTGAGTACTTATGGGAAATTGCAAAAGAGTGAACTTGACAAAAAATAAATGAAATAGAGACCAGGCCTGTCAGAAAACCAGGTAGATTGCCTGGAGACCTTCTTCTTTCTCTGGTCCGCCAGACTCTATCATTCCCCAACATCATCCTTAGTAGCACAGCAGCCTTCCTTACTACCTAGTCACATCTTAGTACTATAGCAGCCTCCCTTACTACCTGATCATATCTTCTATGGATCCCACCAACCATCCTCTTCTACTTTTCCTCCCCCCACTGTGATATTCCAGTTTCCAACGCAAGACTCCCTAGAAAACCAGCTATGATGCCCATAGACATTCTCTCCTCTCTGTTAATCTACTCCAAATCTTCCCTTCTTATCACTAGCTCTGCAGCAGAACAGATATAGCAGCCTTCTGTTTCCCTGTGCTTTCATCTTTTCTGAATTTCAAAGATTTTCCCTCTCTAATCTTCCTCTTCCCAATTGTTGCCTTTTTCACATTTTAACTCTGGAAGGTACTACTGTTAACTCAAGAGTCGCTCTTCCCAGGAAAACAAGCAGGCTAAGTCTCACCTTCAGGATTCTTATTACTTCTGAAAGCCAATTTCCCAGTCTCATTTACCAGCTCTACAGCAGAATATTTTCTCTCTCTTTCCTCTCTGACTCTATCTTCAACAGAACGCAAAGACCATCTCCACCAACTTTCCTTCCCCCAACTCATTTCAATATGCCAGGCTCCAATACCAGCAGGCACTTTTGTAAATACACCAGCTGAGCAGGCAAGTAAAACTAGTAAACTAGTAAAACAAAACAATAAAAACAAAATAAACAAACAAAACCACACATCACACTCTCCAAAAATCCAGAGAGAAAAAGAAACCAAGGAACAAAACCCCACCCCCAAAAAGAAAAATATCCAGAAATCAGCTCCTATACATATAATCATCTGAAACCTAGATGTCTAAGTGATGGCATAATGGCACAAATAATAACAGCCAAAGCAATATTTCTACATTAGAAATGAACTATCTGTAATCCAAAGGAGGTGAGTGGAGTGTGGGACCAAAGCCCATGTCCTCCATCTCAAAAAGGCCTGTGGGGCACTGAAGCAGCTCTTGGCTCAGATATCTTTCTGCCTGCTACACAGCTGCCTCACCTGCCTGGGTCAGAAATAGCCAGTAAGCCAGATGGAGACAGTGAACCCAGTGGAGCTGGGCTAGGTTCTGGATGCAAAATCCCATTGTCTGCTATCTGAAGGAAGTCTGTGGGGCACCAGAGCAGCTCTAGCATTGGAGAGCTTTCAACCTGTGTCCCAGCTGCCTGATCTACCAAGGTCACAAACAGTGAGACAGCAAAGACAGTGAACTTAGCAGAGCACCCTCCCTTCCTCAAATGCATCTGAATCTCTAGCACCCATTCTTGAGCCACTGGACATCTCCCATCTTCCTATAGATGACTCCAGACTCCAGAGGCAGGTGGATCCAGTCTGCAGTACAGGCTCTAAGAACAAAGTCAAGGCTATGGACAATCAGACGGATATAGGCTGGCATAAAGAATAAGAATACAATCAACGAAACCCAGGATATCATGGCTTCACCAGAATCCCCCAAATTAATGGATATTCTAATGCAGCTGAAACACAGGAAAATGATTTCAAATCTATGATTATGCAGTCATTAGAGGAAAAAACCAAAAAAAAATAGAGGTCATCACAGACATCCAGGATTCCACAATCAAACAGGTGGAGGAAATGAATAAAATCTTTCCAAGACATGAAAACAGAATTAGAGTAAATAAAGAAAACACAGAGAAAACCATGGAAACAGAGAACTTAGAGAAGAGATCAGGAACCACAGAATATAAGAGATGGAGGAGAGAATCTCAGGCACTGAAGATACCACCAACTCCACAATAAAAGGAACTAACAATCATTGGTGACAAATGTCTATCAAAATCAATGGACTCAACTCTCCAAAAAAAGATGCAGACTAACAAAATGTTGCCAAAACAGGATTCAACATTCTGCATTCAAGAAACACACCACTGCAACAAAGATAGACACTATCACAGAATAAAGGGCTAGAAAAAGGTTTTCCAAGCAAACATACCCAAGAAGTATGCTGTACTAGCCATCCTAATATCTAATAAAATAGACTTTCAACCAAAATTAATCAAAAGAGATGGGGAGGGACACTTCATTCTCATCAAAAGAAAAATCCACCAGGAGGACATCACAATCCTGAACATGTATGTACCAAACACCAGGGCTCCTGTATTAGTAAAAGAAACGTTATTAAAGCTTAAATCACACATTGATCCGAACACCTTAATAGTAGGAAACTTCAATGTCCCACTCTCACCAAGGGACAGATCACTGAGTCAGAAGCTAAATAGAGAAACAGTGACACCTACAGAGGTACTAAATCAAATGGACCTATTAGATGTCTACAGAACTTTTCACCCAAGAAAAGTTCTTGGATGAAAGAGTATACCTACTTCTCAGCATCCCATGGAACCTTCTCCAAAATTGCCCATATAGTTGGGCACAAAACAAGCCTCAATAGAAACAAGAAATTTGAAAAAATCCCTTGTGTCATATCAGACCACCGTTGATTAAAGCTGGACTTCACCAACTACAGAAAACCTACAAACCCATGAAAAATTAACAACTTTATACTCAACGACCAGGGAAGAAATACAGTCAGGGAAGAAATACAGAAATTAAAGACTTTCTAGAATTCAAGGAAAATGAAGGTACAACTTAGCCAAACCATACAGTTCATCACAAAGCAAGCCTCAACATATACAAGAAGATTGAAGTAGTCCCCTGTATACTATGAGACCACCATGACTAAAGCTGGACCTCAACAACAATGGAAATAGCAAAAAGCCTACACGCACATAGAAACTTAACAACTTACTTCTCAATGACAGCTGGGTTAAGGATGAAATAAAGAAAGAAATTAAAGACTTCCTAGAATTCAATGAAAATGAAAGC